GATAGTCGATTTGGAACAGTTATATCTATTTTTTAAAGGTGAGCAACTGTGATTTGAAAGTGGGATTATCCCATCTACAGACCAGAAATCGTGGAGCATTTTACGTTTGTCTATATGACTTTTCAGTGAAATATGGTCAATGAATCTTCCTTAAGCTCTTGAAGTGCAAAACATAGCAAATATCAAGAAAAAATATGTAAAAACTAAAGCTGCACATATTGATCATCATTCACTGTTAATTGTCAAATTTTTGTCAAAATGGAATCTACCAGTGGTTATGAAGATGGTCAGATACGCTATATACATTCTGTTGATGTTTTAATGCAAGCAAAATAAACTCCATTCTACTGTAACTGTAAGAACCGCAAATCTCGCAGAACATCATTGTGTTCAGAAAGAAAGTGTTACGCAAACAATGTCTATTAAAAGACCAAAATAGATTTTTCTTTCAGAAAAACGCTCTACCTATGGGTTTCGAGCCTGATATTCAAGCAATAGACACAGGTTGCAACTCTCTTGTTCTCCGCTTAAATGAAACAGATTACAAGGTGAACCGTATAGATAAACTTAATATTTGTTATATTCAACACTCGTTTTCCTTCCCCGATTAGTAAAATTGGGATAAAAAATCACTAACCGAACGGTTTGCAGGAAAAATTTGCTAAAGATCGAAGAGATAAACTGTTCTGCTTGGTAGACCAGCCAATGGAAAAAATGTTGGCGGTAAGGACTGAGCGTTGCAATTATATAATTCTTTCTACTTCTGTTCAGCAAACACGAGGTGTTATTATTATTTTATTTACGTACAAGCTGACTCTTCGGCGCATTTCGTCTTCCCTAGAGACAGGAAAGGTCAAATTGACAGCAATCTATTCGGCCAAATACCTCCATAACCAAACAGAAAAACGCTAAACCAAGATTTCAATCACATTTAACACAGCTCTGCACACTCACCGCTTTCTATGAGTCTTCCACTGAATATGTCGTGTGAAGACCAACCGCACAGAATTCAAATGGAAGCGCAATGTGCCTCTCCCATCAGAATAACAGGCTTATATACTGTCCAATATCGCACGTGATAACGAGGCATTTCTCCCTGCAGTTCATTTTCGGATTCTTGGAATTAATCCAGAATGCCTCTAGAGTGTTGCGCACTTGTGTTCTTGATTCTTGTGCGAGGATCGTGACACGTGCTTCAAAGTCCTCTCCGTTATGTCTCTGGGTCCTATGTCTGCCCAGCGGAGTATTTGGTTTATGTTTGCCGGCTAGGTGTTCTTTTATACGTACGCAGAGTGGTCTACCCGTTCCGACAACGTATTCGTCCCCTCACGCCTTACAGGAGGTCAGATAAACTATACCCGAGTTTATGCAATCACTGTCTTTACCATTGGGGCAAATTATACAATTTTGGGTTGCACACAGACGGTCATATAGGCGGTTACGAACTAGCTGGCGCCTAGGATTACTCGGTGGCATCTCAACTACGTTTACCGAATTCTCTAGACCCGCCCTTCTTAGGAAGCTTTTTATAGCTGCAATTACATCATTTGAGATAAAGGGTAGAATAAACAGGACCTTTCTATTGCTAGAGTTGTCGTTTGGGGGCCTCCGATTTTCCCTACGCCTATCCCAAGCTACAGTTTCGTAGCCATTAGAAATGGCTATTTGCCGTGCCAAGTTCCGGGGCTCCTCTCTCTGCTCTCTTCCCGTGCACACGTTGGTTGCTGTTCGAAACATGTTTCTTATAAGCGCCCTTTTCGTGTGAGAGGGCTGAGAGGAGAGGTAATGAACCAAGATGTTTTTACTACTTGGCTTTCGGTACCACTTTGTAATGTAGCCATTGTCTGATAGGTGAATTTGCACGTTCAAAAATGGAAGCCATTTGTCTTTCGGCTTTTCTCGGGTGAACTTGATATACTCTGACTGTGCGTTTAACAATTCGAAACACTTGTCCATTTCCTGTTGTGTCGAGCAAAGGACAAAGGAGTCGTCTACATACCTACAGTAGAGTAGAAGCCCGAGATCAGTCACCGGTGCTTCCACCTTAGACATAAATGCAATGGCATGGCTTGGAGCCAGTTGTTGTCCCATTGCCAACCCTCTTATTTGAGCGCAGTACTTTTCGTACCATCTGAGGATTGAGCACTACGGAGTGTCATCAACTGCTCTATCTTGAAGCCATACATGTTTATTTCTACTTCGTGTTGTATAAGGAGTTCGAATATGGCTTGCATTGCGGAGTCATTCGAAACGTTTGTATAAAGGGCGGTAACGTCGAAGGACTCCATCACGTAAGCGCTGCTGGGGTGTGCAGTACGCAGACGAACCAGAAACATCTGGGTATTCGCAAGATGGGCTGGAATGTGTCTCAACAACTGAGCTGATATGAGGGTAAAAAACCGCGTTATCCTATCCGTTGGCCAGTCTACTCATCTAATGATAGGTCTAACCTTAAACAATGATGGATCGGTAGACGCAAGATAATCGCTGGATAATAGCTTATGGGTTTTGATAAATACAGGACGGGACATGTTGTTAAGTCAATTTTGAGATGAGATAAAACTGATGGTTTTAACACAGCCGCTCTTGCCACTTTAACCCATTCGTTGTTTAACTTTCGGTATTGACTTTTAAATTCCTTCTCAGACGACGTACGATAAAGCGAAGCATCTTCAACAAGCTTTTTCGTTATCTCAACATCTAACTGTTGGTGAATTACGACAAACTTTCCACCCTTATCACTAACGGATAGTCTTATGGTTTTCAACCTTATCAGCTCTTTTGCCTCTCGCATACCACGTCCTTGCACTTCAGTAATGATTAGTGATCAAGGACTTTGAAAGTTTCATTCGTAAGCATCCGAAATCTAACATCAGCTTCATTATTGAGCTCTTGTTGTCTAAAGAACGGCTGAGGAAATGGTGCTATTGGTAGGGCCCCACTTGGTGTTGTTCGGACCTATTTTACGTTTCATCTCTAGCTCTTTTGCGGAATCCGTCTTGAAGTTCATGTAAACTACATGCGACCCTACGCAAGGTTATCTTAGAAATGAGTTTAGATGGTGAGAAACTCGGTCCTAATTTTAATAACGAGCGCGCTTCGTCAGGGAGAATCATGCCTCCTAACACGGTTAATCTTGAGTTTTCTTGCACATTACTTATCCTACTGTGACATGTTTGATGTTCGTTAGCGATATTTCTGTGCACTTTTGAAGCCGTGTTATGCGATTTACTCAAAAAGTCTTCGAATTTTCTTCACAAAGTTATTTTAGCATTAGACCTAATAGAGTTGCAAATCAACACTGACCCACTGACCCACCTACTATTCTCCACCAGAGGCGGTCCTCCAAATGCTGAGCACAATAGTTTTTTTTTCTCGCACTTCTTCCACTTAGCGAAGATCTGGTTTTGTTTACTTCGTAGACAGGTGCGCAGTACTTGCAATTCGATGCCCAGCACTCGGTGGCTATCCTCTGGCAGTCCGCATACTTCGTGTAGTCGTTTTCTTTTTATGAATTTCGGAACGACTTGGTGTTTTATGCAGCAGCGGAGAAAGTGCCTGTCGAGCTAAGACGATCTTTTGTCTTAGTGACAGTGCTTCTTTTGCATGGCATGGGATTGGGATTGGAGAGATGATGGGAGGGGCACATTACGCTTCCATGTGAATTCTGTGCGGTTGGCCTTAACGCGACACGCTTAGTGGAAGACTCATAGAAAGCATAAAGCAGTGAGTGTGCAGAGCTATGTTAAATGTGATTGAAATCTTGGTTTAGCGTTTTCTCTGTTTTGTTATGGAGTTGTTTGGCCGAATAGATTGCTATCAACTTGACCTTTCCAGGCACTGAGTAAGGCGAAATCCGCCGAAACGTGAGCTTGTACGTAAATAAAGAAATAAAATAACTAGTGTTATAATTCAATGGAATAAATATGTTTAACCTTTGTTAATAAGGACGTTTGCTGAAGAAAGGTAGAAAGAATTATTCAAGCAATGCCGCGGTTAATAAAAAGTCGGACGTGGGCGTTGCAATTGTATTTCTTTCTTGAGGACTCACTAAAATAATTTCAGGATCTCGAAAAAGAGAATTGGTACCATGGATGCTTACCGTTTGAAGACATTGTCGGATTACTAAAAGTCGATGGTGATTTCCTCGTACGAGAACTCGAACCGGAAGGAGAACGTATGGCAATGGTAACGTCATTTGGAATTCCCTTATTAGAAAGTTGTGACACTCGTCATGACGGCACTCATCACAAGAGTACGATTCAACTACGTACGCGTTTCGAATTACAAATCGATGCCCATTTTATAGATTACTTGTTAAAATCGACCTCCAGTTTTTTAACACGCTACTTTTCTATTAATATTCTGGACCGATTTATGGCTAAAGCAGCACAGTGGTTGTGATACACCTGAGATAGCCGGGCAGGATCGTTCCCAACTGGAATCCAGAGAGTGGAACTTTCGCCAGACAAGTCTGGTACCAATGTATCGAGCCCGTAGGGACGAGGGGCTTTTTGACCGTCGTGGATCAAGCCAGTGTCTCATCCTGTTATAGTAGTTTTGAACCAATTTGGTAGCCCCTAAGAGATGGTGGACTTGGTGTTTCCAATGTAAGCATTGCTAACGAGTGCGCTAGAAGCACGCAGCCTACCCCACACAAGGGTAATAATGTTCGTTTTTCTTAGGCTTGCGTAACAACAAAATGGAAAGACCAGGTGCGGGATCATCCAGTGCACCACTTACAGATTGGGAATGAGAGACTATTCACATTAGATGGGATCAATAAAGGTGCCGAAGTAATGCCGTTAATAAAGTAAGTGGTCATTATTCAAGTGCAAAGATCGTTACTTTTGACTGATTGAGTTGATCAGTGATTCTAATAGAACCGGGACATTTTAAAAACGGACTAAGTTTTTATATTCAGCTAAAATACATTCCTCCGAGAAAAACACAGAAATTTAATTTTATTCGAAATTAATCTTAAAAATTGAAGGAAAAGTATGGTAGGGAATCGAGCACACATGCTACTCTCCTACGCCGGGAACACGTCATTTAATGACATACAACCTGCTCGGTCAGGCATTTTCATGACCTTAATAATCAAGGGAAAAAACTTTACATGATTTCATTTGTAGGGTAAGCAAGTACAGTTTGTGGAAGAAAATTTTAGTTTTCTTTGAGGGATTTTTTTTTCAAACTGAAGGCATGAAAATATATGACAGTAGCCTGAATGCTTCAATGCGATCTGTTTCAGCTTCAGAAGTCGACAACATTCTTCTAAACATTAACTAATTTTGAGTTCACCTTATGTTGACAATACCTGTCAGCTGGCAAAAAATACTGTAGCTTGTTGCTTCTTGTCAAGCCTTTGCAAATGTTAGTCTAGGGAAAAGTGTGGCTAGGCTTTTCCACTTGCAGAAGCTTTGATGAATCCAAATACGGTAGTCAGTTTCAGCCGGGAAGTTCACATCTTAAACTACGGGCTTACTGGGAAACCGATGAAAGATCCCAGTTTTCGCGAACTCGATATCAGTTTTAAAGTAATTATGCTGAAACCAGCACGGTTGTTGAAGAAGACGAGCCGCTAAAAAAGTTTCTACATTTTTAATACCATAAAACATAAAGTTGCTAAAACTAAAACAAAAGAAGAATTATCTCGAAGTAAAGGTTCGGAAGAGAAAAAAGCGAAGAAAAACCAAGGTAACTGATCCAAACCGTGTTCCATGGGCCACAGTCAGTAGGAGTTATCGGTACTGAATCAACTCCATTTCAGACTTCATTACCAGAACGCTATACCTATAGACGGTGATGTTCTTCTAAAAAACCCAATTCCAAAACAAAAATGGGAATTGTCAAGTGAAAAAATCACTATGGACACAAAAATCGGTTCGGGACAATTCGGTGAAGTGTGGAAAGGAACGATGAAAGAAGACGCGAAAAAACCACCAGTCGTTGTTGCCATTAAAGTGGTAAGCATTCCAGCAATCAATAAACTTCATTTCACCTTAGATAAACAGTTTCAAACTAATAGAAAACTAATATTTTTCATGCCTACAGAAAAAAGTTACCGATCAGAATAAAACAGAAATAGATGAAATGTATAAGGAAGCTCGTCTAATGCGACAGTACAAGCACAAGTGAGATTTTCTTAGTGAGAGAAAGTATAAGAAACAGTAGATTTTAGAATTGTTCGAGTACTTTCAGAAATGTTGTAAAATTTTATGGCATAGTTAACAAATCCGCTGACAAGGTGATGATCGTCATGGAATTGGTCATTGGCGGTGCACTTGATGATCACTTACGAAAGTCAAAAGATGTAGTCAGTTTCTTTCTCCAAATTCCAGTTGTGAGAAAATCATATACCATCTATCCTGTGGGAAGCGCGTGCAGCGTAGTGATTAGAAATGTACTGCAATTCTCATAGATCCGATCCCGCGCGGCAGATTCACAAAACTTTCTGCCCTTGTGGAGCCGGCAGATTGGCACCCTAAGCCTGTATGGAAGGATAGCAGCACTGATCCGATACATCAGTAGGCCATCGCGACTCATTGCATAGCTCAAATATGCGTTGGATCGATATTTAATAAAGTCGAATGCATAGCGCAATCCCTAGGGATTGACAAACGAAAAGAGCCCTTTAGCTTAATATCCCGTAAATTCTACTCACTGAGGGATCGAAGCGGGCTTATGGTATGGCTACGCGACGCTCCACAGTTGGAAGATAGAGGAAGAAGTTCATACGTAGCAAAATGGGTCTACGCTTGCACATATGTATTTATGTACATATATATACATATATGTATATATATACAAAAATTTTCATCTCTAATCGTTATTCAGAGAGATTTCTCCCAGCTGTCAAAAATTGGTAGGGTAATTTCTTTTGCACACTTCTGTTTTCTGTCTTGTTCTCATTATCAACAATGCTTTACCGTTACTGCTTGAGAATTTTCCGCTTTCAACTTCCCTGATATGCTAAGAGAAGGTATTTCTCTTGTGGGAACTAGAGATACGATGTTCTCCAATTGATAGATAAACGCATAGTGAGCTATTTCTGTATTGTAACAAGTTGCCGGCACTTTTGAATTTTCTAACGTCTCTGAAGCAACTAAAGAACGCTTTTTACGAAGCGATGCTTTCGACAAAGACAGTCGGTGTCCTTTGCTTTTAAGATAACATGCAAGGAGAAAATTGGATACGCTATCGATGCCGCTGTCGGTATGGTATATTTGCACTCAAAGGGCTGCATACATAGGTTCGATTCTTAATAGTTACACAATCTTGTGTGTCTAAGACGACGGTACAACGAAAGCGGCATTACAGAGATATAGCGTGTCGGAACTGTCTTATCGATGTGAAGAAAAGTATTGTGAAGATCTCTGACTTTGGACTATCGAAACAGGTTGAGGTGTACAAAATCCAGGCCCATGAACGACTTCCGATCAGATGGTTTGTCGACAATTTTACCTAAACTCGTTTGAGGGTACTTCTAGCGTAATAGTCATAGATGCTCGGCATTCTACGCATGGTTGTTTGTTCGCCAAACGACCTGAGTTAACCAACTCCGTCATTCCTCTAGGTTTGGCAACCTTGTACTGAGTTTGCCTGGGAGGATATAAAACATTGACCTAATACATTAGTAGGATCCCACAAATCATTGTTATTGGGAAATTTTCATTCAAAATACTCTATGATGCTTAAAAAACTCCGATGTAGGACGCATCCCAACGAAATTAGTTAATACCGTATTAAAAAGTCACATCCTATATGTTTAGGCAGGCTCCTGAAGTTATATCGACGAGAATTTACACAGCGAAATGTGACGTCTACTCATACGGTATTCTCCTCTGGGAGATTTTTAACAATGGTGAACAACCATTCAAAGGAATGAGCAATAAAATCGTAAAATCAAAGGTTGAACTTGCTTTTATCTTTAGGTCACATTCAGTTTCATGATTTCCATCGTCGTCAACTATTCATTTGCTGCAGATTTGTGACCCGAAATTTCGTCCACCAGTCGATCCTAAACTTCCGATTGTCATCCAGAGAGTGATGAGGACGTGTTGGAGGGCAGATCCAAAGAAACGACCAATGATGACACAAGTTGCTCGGTTTCTTATTCATGCACCAGCAGAAATGTGAGTAAAAGCAGTTGCTAATGAAACAATCGATTCAATTGACTATAATGTGAGAAAAATTTTTAAAACTTTGAAAATTTTCGGTACTACTATGTCTGTTATCAAACTGTTATTATCTTCCTAGGCTTCAACCGAATAACAGATCACCCAGTGCGAAACGAAAATCGAAGAGAACGGTATGGGAACCAATACATTACATACATCATACATTACACACACAAATACATTACATAGATTACATACATTGCATACATACATACATACATACATACATACATACATACATACATACATACATACATACATACACACACATACATGCATACGCACATATGTATACACACATGTATGTACATATATACATATGTATACACATATATGCATTCGTATACACATATATACATGTATAGTAAATATATACGTATGTATATACATATATACATGTACGCACATTTATACATATACATATGGACAGTATATATTCATATATACGAGCATACGTATATACATACACATACATATATACATGTATACATACACATATTCATACATACATACACAATCATAGGGAGGTGATTGAAAGCCTCATGTCTCCATAACAGACACCAACGATATAAGAAAGGATTTGAAAAAAGTTGATTATTAGGCGTTTCTGTACTGCTCTTTTGTGTTTTAGCTCTCGCAGAGCAGCACTACGCTAACGAATAAAAGAGAGGTATGTGAGCATGTGTGGGTTTTTTTTAAAACAAAAGCGCTTCTTGTATTTGTCATCTAGAGAACGTTTAATGATTGATATTTGCTTTCCAGGAGATTAACCGGAACTTCCCACAAAAGAGCGCCGTCAGTCGCCGAGGCTCGAGAGGCCGAGTCTCAAATAAAACCTGATCACCATCGATATGTCGTAAATCTGAATATGATCCATAGTGTTACCTATCATGTTTCGTTGAACGAAATAAATTGAATACGTGTGCGATAAAAAAATATTAAGCAACAGAATCGTCCAAATAAATCAATGGGGCTTCATCACTATGTATAATGAATGCCTTAGCGATCAGCCTAACCAACGACTTTTAATCCTGTTAATCACCGAATGCTCCTTATTCATCACATCACATGTATCACAGCAGCTCAATGAGCTTAACTCGTTAGAAAGAAATGAAGAACGTCACTGGCTTTTCGCGTGAGGACCTCTTCTTACTGTTCTTTGTGAGCGAGTAACGACGGATCGGAGTCCGTTTTGGCCTTACTGTCGTATGCTCTGAACTGGGGAACCGAATAGAATTGTTAATTCTCTCAGCATAGATAACGCTGGTACTGACGCACATCTTCTACACAGTACATTTTATGACTGCGGAACACCTTTTGGCCACAATATTCTGTCACAAACCTGCAGTGAATGAGGTAAGTAGAGAAGTGAAATCAGGAAATATTGTTGGCTAATTTAACATTCCTTTCTTTTTTCTACTTTTGCGCGCAGTCATACTTTTTTTCGGAGAAAAAACTGGACTACGCATAAGTAGGATGAAGATCCAGCCCATGAAGAGCACATGTTGCGAAGGTGAACAAAGCAAACTGGATTGTTCTATGATTACAGAAACCACTTCTTTGGTGTACTTTGGACGTTCAGCGAACATGGAGAACGACATGAAGGAGGAATTAGACAAAAGAATGAGGGCAGCTCGGGCCGGATTCCGTCCTCTCAAGAAAGCTATCGACCCACTAAAGGACACGAAAATCCCCGCTTACCTTTTCGATTCAGGAGTCCTTCCAGCGCTTACGCCGCAGCCACGTGGAGCGAAACATCATCCACGTTAAGAATACTACGCACTATACACAGAGCGCTTGAACGACGTCTTCTGGAATAAACAGGCACATACAATATCCGGCCGGAATTTAAAGCTCCAATCTCGAAACATATCTCATCATCGAGAGCCGGGATAGCACGAATCAACAGCAAAACATGGATGGGCCGGCCATACAGTGAGAACAACAGACGGCCAGATAGACCAAAAGAACTGTAGACTAGACTCCACGAGGATGCAGGCACCCTTTCGTAGCCAGAGTCAAATAGCTGTACTCGAAGGTGCAGCTGCTTTACAGCTGCGAGAGATGCTTCAGAGGTAAGAGATTCGTAACCGCAATCATGATCCAGTCGAAAGACCCCATGGACGACGATTGCGAGGCAAAGAAAGTTGTGAAAAATGTGTTAGGACTTGCACAACTTCAAAAAACGGTCCGTCGAATTATCCAAGTAAGTATGAAAGCTGTGCTGCATTAAATCACTTAACCACTCATTGGTGACATCATCAACTCCGGACAGCAGGTGTCTGAGGTGAGAAACGAAAGCAATGTTACTCTTTCCAGGGGCTAATGCGTTCACCACCACACCACACGGGTCCTTCGTTTCGTCTCTCTCTCAGCTGGTTCTATCGATCAGTGCTATCAGCAATCACCCATCAACGGGATTGATCTGGAGAGCCCACATTGATATCGAAAGCAAACAAACTATGGGGTCTCATAATCCACTATTAACACAACAGACTGTGTACTTTCTATGCAGTTAAACGCCCTGAGTGGCCGATATGAGCTCTATATAAGTCGTTCCCTTTCTGATAGTTTATTTTGATCCACAGAAATTTTTACCAAATTTGTTGTAATCAACCCATAGATTATCAAGCAAAGGTGCTGCTGCGAGTGTTAGAAGAGAAAAGTTCTATTCTACACTTGTAAATATGCAAGGAACACGTTATTGAACGAGTTCATTGACTGATAATTTCACTAGCAATTGATTTTTATTTCAATTGTACTCGCTACATTGAATCATAACCATCAGATGGAATATACAGGTATTGAAAATACAGAACTTCTTTTCTTTTCTATTCGACCCGCCTTCACGTCTACTGTGCGGATCCTAGCACTTTTCCATTCAATTCGTTTCCTGGCATCCATCATCCGTTGAGGATTCTCATTTCATCTTGAGTGCCGTAGAATACTGGTCGAGCAATTTCCCCTGGAGTCTTAGAATAGCCGGGCTGGAACGTTCCCAATTGGATTTCGGAGAGTGCTTTTTTCTCGGACGAGCCCGGTATCAGTTTCCCGACCTCAGAGGGATGAGAAGCTTGCTTGGTCCGGAGCGGAATGGATTTAGCACCATGCTCGTGATGACAGGCATCACTACCACTATTCTATCCACCCCTTAATACATAATACGGAAATGGAGACATCATAAATTTACAAATACTTCCAAATGTTGACAGTAATGTGTTTTTATGATGGACCAAAGTAACATGTAGTAAATAATATCACACACGCCACTCATACCCACACCGCTACCAAGCAAAGTCTTTTCTACCGTCCTGTTATGTTTATATCCTCTCAAGTGCTCTAGTTATCGTAAAATTACCACCCATTGTCAAAAAAACCGCAATTCCACAAAAATGGAAAATCAGAGGTCGTGCCAAGCTGCAGAGTGGCCAAAGGCCGCTCTTCCATTTTATGTTAGTCTAAGGAGCAACTCGATCAGAAGCTATAAAAGCCTTTGTAGCGACGCACTTTGTCGGACCATCTCACATCATCTGTAGGCCTTATTTATTGAAAACTACACCGAACGATCTACCATTTACTCCAGCGTAACCTTCTTGTAAGCCTTTGCTCAAAACGTCATAAAATCCGTCTACAATCAACAACGTTCATGTTTTCAGTCCGATACAACTAGCCAGACTCCGTCCGTAGTCCATTCCTTTACCTACTAGGGTCTAGAGTAAGTCTAAAGTCGCACTCGATTCACATTGAACCACGTAACACCAAGAAAGTAGTACGCTGCTTTAGTAGCTTAATACAAGTGTAAGCCTATCTGCAGCTATTTCTCTCATAGATTTCCATAGAAATGTAGTGATATTTTTAATTACTCATTTCTTCCTTATATATATATATATATGTATATATACATATATTCGTAACTCCTCCCGGGGGTTTACCGCCTCATCGTGGCTAGAAGGTGATCCTTGGTGTCGGGCTGTGATGTATAGCAGGAGCTCCCCATAGCAGAGCTAAGCTGAGGAGTGGCGTTTCCAACAGGAAGCCCAGCTAAGTGTAAACAAATACCAGGAACCACCACTGTCCTGGTATAAAACTAGTCGCATGGTATAAAATCTCCCTCGAAACCACACGGGCGAGAACTGCCTGTGGTGGTGACGGCCTGGGGCAGACATTGGCAAAGCTGATCTTAGGACTCCAGGGAAACACAATGGCTAAACCAGCAAGTTATCCGGAGAATGGAAATTATGCTGGGGCTACCACAACCAGTGAAGACGGGCCATCCAAATGTCCAAGTATATCCGTAATTACTACCACACCACAATGATACAGAGAACAGTGAAAACTCATCCATCCACGGAAAAAGATTTCCCTTTTTTGAGAGAGAGAGCAACAAAGAGAGAAAGAGATAGGAGAAAGCCAGAATAGAGGTTTTTTTAAATGATCATCGCGTTGCGCATGACGTCATCGCATCAAAGTGGCGTATGCTTGTGGCGCGTTTATTGATTACTGCTCAGTTGTATGACCGAGGTCGCCCCATTCCATCAGGTTGCTCACACTTCTGTTTTTCCTTTGAAACCGAAGACTTTTGTAAAAGGTAGTTTGGATGTTTACTCATTGTTACAATAATGTGCAGAATGCTTGCTCAATGTTACAATAACGTTCAATGGAAAATCGTCGACATCAAAACGAGTCTAATGAAAGGCGTTACCATTCTGACTTCTTAATCTTCTTGTAATCTTTCTTCATTGAGGTTATTTTAGGTAAACGATGAGGGATAAAGGTCTCGGCGTTGATCAATACCTGAGGGATGCGCCATGTATTTGACTTCATTAAGCATCGTTGCAGGTGATTGAATGCATATCTGGGCTTTACAATGACTCGCGGTAGCTGACCGATGTGTAGACCAATGCTGCTATCCTTCCAGACAAATGTGGTACCAATCTGCCGACCTCGGAAGGATGGAAGGCTTGGTGACCCTTGAGCGCGGTGATCGGTCCCAAGTGCATTGCAGGGCGCCTCTGACTACTACTCTACACGTGCCCTTGTCATCCTAGATAGTTCATTAATTCCTAAAACACCCAGTTTTTTTTACAATAAGCATTTGTTCTCACTGTTCTTACATAGGTTGTCAAACGGGCATCACTAAAGCAATTCTCTAATTTGCATAGCAGAACTATCCAGTAGGTTTTGGTTGTTGGAAGGATACGACGTATATCGTGGATTACTTCTAAAGTTCCACGAAGAAGTTCGTCGCATGTCTCTTCTTGTTCTATGCTTAGCATCGCATAGAAAACTAACTTCAACGGCGTTTGTCAAGCAGCTATTGTTAGTTCGGGGTTTAAGTCGTCTACGGAAAGGTTGTCAGGAACCCTCCTTTGTCACTATTGCTGTTTTGTTTAGGTTCAGAGGTTCGGTCGAAGAGTAGTCTTTCCATAGACGTTGTCGAAATCAGCCGGATTTCGACTTACATGTGTGAATTACTGGTATTATAAAGATGATGTCATTAATTAAACGAAGGTTATAAAGTTGCCAGATTTTGATTTTCATGTTATCCCATTGAAGCTTTTGCATAGCGTTCTTGAAAGTGACACTGAATTGTGTCGAGAGTATCGCTTCGTAAATCTACGTTATGTAACAGATTGATGACGACATGAGTCGTATATGCCTCATGTGTATCCGAAACTAATAGCGTTTTTCAGTTTTGACTAGTCATATGTCGTTTCACAAAGTGCTTTATTGATTCTGAATATACATTAGAATCTAATCGTCATTGGCAAGAACATGAAACCGGTCTCATTCTAGAGGGTTAGATGTTGACTTTTTGGGGCCTATACACGTTTTTATTCTTCGTTTTCAAGGCTTTTATCTTTTATAGTGAAGCGATTTAGCAAGATAGGGCTGATATCGCTGCAGGATAGCGAAACCGCTAACCGTCTGCTGATTAGGGTTACCGTGATTCTTCATTTAGTCTCCTTTTGGTTGGTAGAATGAAAGAAAAAAAATGGTGGTTGTATCTTGCCCTCAAAGGATACTTCATCGAGTTTTGTATGGTAGCCATATCTTACGTTCTCTATGCTTCAGTGAGTTCTGTATAGATGTGGACATGGTCTATTCAGTCCTTTTCTAAGGTCTAGTTGCTTAAAGCTGAGCATACGGAATGGTTTTTTAGTTGTTCAAACGAATGATTATTCATGACCGCGATTTCTATTGTTCCAAGTTCTGGGAAACAGTTCTTCACACTCTTAAAAGGTGGTTGATAAGCGACGTCATCTAGTCTCGATGAATCGACGAAAGGTTGTTGACTAGATGAGTTTCCAATCTCTCATCTTTCGCATCACTGCCGTGACGATGCTTGAGAGACAATCCAGTGGTTATGCTTTTAGCACTTGCCAATGAGTCTCTTAAACTTTGCCGTTTCTGGCAAAGGGTTATCCATTAGCGCAGGAATGACAAGGAACTCGCTACTCTGAGTACGGTTACGTCTCAACTCGAGTACACAGTCGCTTTTAGTTTTTGTTTAAATCAGTGTATTTAACGGGCTAGACCTCTGACGTGAACGTTATCCGCGATTTGTGTTGACAGTAACAATCTGAAAGAGTGGTATTCTATTCTAATCAAGTAGGGGGCGTATAACACATCATATTAGTGATGCCGATCATTACGGTCACGGTTCTGATTCCACCCAGCACCAGGCTCACCAAGCCTGTCACCACTCCGTAGTCGGAAAATTGGTACCATTCCTGTGCTGGAAAAGGTCAGTCTCTGCAATACAACTGGGAACGCTGTAGCCTGGTTATCTCAGGACTCCAGGGAGAATCGGTTCCACAAGCATTCAACGACATTAAGATGAAAGCAGAATCCTGAAGCAGCAGCCGAAGCCACTCATAAAAGTTCGGTCTTCGTGGATGATGGATGCGAGGAAACCAGTCAAATGTGAGAAATGCTGGGATCCGTACAGTAGACGGGAGGATGGATTAAGTAATATAAAAAAATTTCAGTCAAGTAATAAACATTTAACATATGTGAAATAAACGTGTGTCATCTATTCTTGTTTCGGCAAAGCTGTGTACAAATGTAAGAGCATTTAAGACGCAAGGACTGAAGGTTAATTCCGCATAAATACCGTATCTGACTCCTAGTTTCTTCTGCACTCTATGAATTGATACCAATTCATTGCGACCCAGTTTCCCTCATCACCTTTCACTTCGTCATTCAGTTTTCTGTGCACTTTGTTAGTAACTTCGAATTTTTGTTTTCTGAGCATATTGTAAGTTTTGCTATTCATTCTGTCATGGTTTGGGTCTGTTTAGACTCTCATGTGTGGTGAAACAACCTCATATACGTTTGCAGTCGATAATAGACAATCACTATGGTGCTGAGATATTTGCAAAGCATGGACTCCAGTCAAATTCGATCCTGTGATATCCCTTTCTCGAGACTCACGTTTTGCCCACTATATCACTGAGGGCCTTGTTTTGCTTTTCTCTCAGCTTCGGTCTTTGGTAATAAATGCTCAGTTTCACAACATATATAACCTATCGGATGGGATTTTTTGGTTCCTACTTGACGATATTGGTGTTATGAAAGTTGGTCAGAGACTAAGCACCTTTTCATATAGAAACACAAATTTCTTTACGTTTTCGTCACAGTTAATCGACCACAATGATACTGAGTTATTTGCAAAACTCCGGACCGCTGGTGTGTGCAGTTGGGATCCAACACGCTATTACCCTCTACAGAGGCTAACGCGTTCACCAACACACCATGCGCATCCCTCGTTAGGCCTTTTTCCCAGCTAGTTTTCTACCTTGAGGTAGACTTTGACCAGACTGACCTCGGGATTCCAGTAAACCACAATGGGTTAACCAGCAAATGTCCGATAAAAGGTGATTATGCTGGGGCTCGCACAACCAGTGAGGACGGGCCGTTAAAGTGTCAAAGTTCTCTATCTACCAGTTCCATCAGCAAGCAGATAAGAGTATTTTGCAAGTCGTTTCTGGTGTTTTCATTTTTATTCTATCTTTAGAATACTGTTTTTTGCATTAGCTAAAACCTAGCGGAGAAATCACGTAATGTATCTTCTTGACCTATATACTTCACTATCATTCGTGGTTCGTTTCCTGCATTTTTTCACTTTTATTTTATCTAATGCTGAATTTAGTTGCCAATTTGAAGTGGAATTCCACTGATATTCTTTCAGGCATGGCAGATTTGCTTCCTCTTGATATTCCAGAGGATTTCACACGCTCTAAGAATCGTAACCACACCGGAGAATTTCATCCGATACCTGACGATCTTCATTTTTTTTATGGTCGGCTATTTTGATTCTTACTACAAACGTGTTAACCTATTGCTCCCGGTGGAGGCTATTTTTGACCCTTTTGAAGCTCCCATAGGTATCATACAACACTAATTTTCTTCTCGGTTTCTTTTCTACCGCCATTGATAGTAGCTGTACTTCTCATAACCCCAGAAGACAGGAAGGTACTGTCAAGAGAACGAGGAAATCTGTGAACGCACAATCTCATAAAAAGTGCATTGTGAAGTATTACTTCTTTAGGGACAGCTGGTTTTCGACAAAATGCAGATCTTCTGACGTTTGTGGTGTTTAGAATGGGTTGTCTTGCTGGTTTACGAGCTAGGTAGGCTAATTCACATAAAATAATTCTTTAAACTTTGACAGATATGCTAAAATTGGTTAATATTTCTTTATTCAGAGGGTTAAATCGGGCTGTTGGTATTATGATCACTGCATCGCATAATCCAGCAATTGACAATGGAGTGAAAATCGTTGATCCTATGGGAGAAATGCTTGCTACGGATTGGGAGGTTTGTTTAAAAGCGGTTATATCCATCCAACGGTTTGCTGCCTCATTGTGGTTGGGAGGTGTTCCTGGGTATCGGGCTGCGATGTACAGCGGAGGGATTCATTTACCCAGCAGGGTCTCCCGACCTGAGAAGGAGTCAGCCTTTTCTATCAGGAAGCCCAACTAAGATTAAACCGATACTAGGATCCACCACCGTTCTGGTATCAAACTAGTCGCATGGTGGCGAATCTCCCTGCGTTCCACAAGGGCGGTGACTGCCTGTGGTGGTGGCGACCTGGGGCAGACTTTAGCTAGGTTGACCTCGGGTCTCCAGGGAAACACCATGGCTAAACTAGCATCCGAAACAATGGAAATTATGCTGGGGCTCACACAACCAATGAGTACAGGCCATACAGGTATCTAATTAATTAAGTATTTCCATACTAAATTCTTCGAGTATTTGGTTGACTTTTAGAAATATGCGTCGGAATTAGTGAATGTTACTGATGGACTATTACCATCGGCAATCCGTGCCTTAGAAGTTAAAGTCAGTTTCGTAAACTTTTTTCATATTTTACTGTGTACATATTTATTTATTCTGTATAACATCTCTTATTTAATCGTACCTTCAACTTATTATGTCACTACGGGAACCCCGTCTGAAAATGCCCTGGTGATTTGCGCGATGGATTCTCGTGAAAGTGGGCCGCACCTCATGGAAGCTGCGCGGGAAGGTTCTGCTTTGATGGGTGTTCGTTATGAAAATCATGGTCAGTTTATGTTTAGGTATACTCTCCTATTTTGCTAATATCTGTTTCTTTTTCTTCTGGGGTTGAAATTTGAACGTTCCACGATTTCTCCAGTGAAGCTGTTTCCGAAATTTGAGCAGAAAAGGCCTGTTTTTCATTTAAAACAAATGTTTATTCATTGTTAGTGTAAGCACGGCGGTTTCGTTTACTTTTCTTGTGATAAAAAAAAGGATAGAGCTCTCAGCGTTGATCAATCCTTGAGGAATGCGCCATGCACTCGACTTCACTAGGCCTCTAAAGGTGATTGAGTGCATATCTGGCCTTCACAAAAATTTGAGGTGACCTAACGATGTATTGAACCATTGCTTCTATCCTCCTAAACAGATCTGCTTAGAATTTACTGACTTCGTAGGGATGGAAGGCTTGACGAGCTTGGGTCCCAGGAATCGATCCCATGTGTATTGCAAGGCATCTCCACCGAACTTATTGCTCGTATTCTTCCGTCCTTATTGTTTTACCATGAAGGATTCGTTGCTGTGATGGTTGTGAACCACAGATTACATACATCATTATATACTTTTGGGGCTGATGTAGCGCAGTGGTCAGAGGCGTTCTGGGATTGATCCCCGCGCCTTTGGCTCGTCAAGCCTTTCATGCCCCGGAGTCGGCAAATTGGTGCCAGACTTGTTTGGGACGATAGCAGCACTGCCTATATACATCGATAGGTCACCGCGAATCATTGTAAAAGCCAGATATGCATTGAATCAACTCTAACGATGCTTAATGAAGCCAAATATGTGACTCATCCCTCAAGGATTGAACAACGCCGAGAGCTTTGTTAATTATCCTTTCATTTACTTTTGATAGGCTTACTAACTACTCCTCAGCTGCACTATATTGTACGATGTAAAAACGATCCATCTTTCGGTGAGGCTAACGAAATTGGATACTATGCGAAGATGTCTAATGCGTTCAAGGAGCTTATGAAGGTGTGTTAATATAATTTCTTATCTTCTTCTAGGTGCTAGAGTTTTCATCCAGATTTACTATTTCACATCTCTTACCAGTGTTTAAGCTAAATGGTGAAAATGAGCAATCATCATACTCTCGGAATCTTATTCTTGACTGTGCGAACGGTGTCGGTGCCAAAAAAATGCGAATGCTTTGTGGATTTCTTCCACAGGATGCTGTACATGTGCAGTTTCGTAACGAAAATGGTGAACTGAATCACAAGGTATGCTTCACCTAGAGTTTCCATCTCTCATTGATTAATTGGTCATTACCCCAACTGCTCCCGAAGTTGAAAAGAGAAGAAACGTGTTGACGTACTTCAAACAGATCTCGCTTAGTGCTTCTTTTTCGTTTATTTTTCTTTTTTACTTTTTTTAAGTGTGGTGCAGATTATGTCAAGATTAGACAAGTGCTTCCCGAAAATTTTACCGATGTGAACGTGAATACAAAGTGCGCATCGTTTGATGGTGATGCAGACAGATTGGTATATTTCAGGTTAGTTCAAATTTCATGTTTTGGTACAGCTGATTCATCTACACTCGCAGACAAGGCCGAATATGAAATTGGGCTAGCTGAGAGAAAAGCGGAACGAAGGACGCGCATGGCGTGGTGGTGAACGCATTAGCTCTCTGAAATAGTAATAAGGTGTTCGTTCCGCACCGCAGACACGTGCCGTCCGGAGTTTTGCAAGTGTCTCAGCATTGTTGTGGTTAGATTTAGACTCCCGTTAAGTGTTCTATGTACTCGATGTCTTCGTTTTTTTTTCTTAGAAAAGCGTCCAGTGAGGGGGAAAGGGCTATATTACTTGATGGCGACAAAATAGCGATATTGATAGCGAAATATATAAAGGAGGTGAGCAATGAAGTGTTTTTTAATTTGGGTTTAAAGTATGATGCATGGAAATTGTCACTTTGAACTCTGAAGTCTCTGTAATATTTGCGTAGCGTTAGGTCGTTGTTAAGGCTCTAAACAGTGCTCAAATCACGGACCTTACGATGGGTGTAGTACAAACTGCTTATGCGAATGGAAACTCGTCTAAATACCTAAGAGAAGTCTTGGTATGTGATTGTGAGCACCAAAAACGAAATTGGTTTACTTTTTTGAAGATGGAGAATCTCATGTTTTTGTAACGTGTGGGACATTTTCAGGGTATAACACCTGTATTTGTACCGACTGGTGTAAAGCATCTGCATCATGCGGCGATCCGCTTTGACATTGGAATTTACTTTGAGGCTAACGGACATGGGACAGTGGTTTTCAGCAAGAAATTCAATGAGAGGATAAGAACGTTGGATTTTTTTCCTTTTTTTTTGGTTACGTTTGTGCAATAACTAGATCAATAATGTAATTAAATCTTGTCAGTTAGTAGTAAATGGATGGAAAATGATCAGTAAATAGATAGGTGAATGAGCAACGTTAATTGACACTTTACATAATCACATGGATCAAATATGGAAATAAAATCTTTGGTATTTTAAGCTTTTCAGTGCGAACCACTCAAGTTGTTCTCTCAAGCGATTGCAGCTTTTCTCAAACATTATAAATGAGGTACGGTGTGTATATGAAGCAGACTTTTTCCAACTATTCAGTAAAATGTTCCTTTACTCGAGAAAAATTGTTGCGAAGGAAGGGCAGAATGTGTTTTCTACTACAAATATTGATTTATATAGTACCGAACTTTTTTGTCATGAGTAAGAAAGAACGCTAACACATCGTAAGAGTGATGATGCCGGATCGTGAGCAGTTCTAAGAGAAAGAGCTTCAGAGGCAGTGAATATCACTTCTGTTAAGAATGCACACAGAAGTATCCCACATACTAGATTTATCACCATGTAGGGCTCCAGTTGATGCCGTGCACAGCTTTTCTTCACCCACCAACATTTTTGTCGTATCGGTTTCGGGTACTTAAATATGATCGCATGACAGCGTTTGAATGAAATCCGACGAGAGGAGTATCACTTAATAGGAGAAAATTAAAAAAAGTTCCAGTGTTCAATAATGTTTCTGATATATTTCCATTTAAAACTTCAGCGAGGGTATGCATTGGTTACAGTGTATCTTTCTAGTTGTTTGTGCTTTAACACAGAGTTTTCTTTGCTACTGTTTGGCTTTTTAAATATTCTTTTTTTAGTGGATAGCTTTCCTACTCCCCATATTGTATTTGATAAGATGTTATCTATACGGTTCACAATTTTTAAAAAATCTGATTTGCGGACGAGTTTGTTTGTTTGGATGGATTCCGCGACAAGAGTGTTACTGGTGTTTAGGGTGCAAAGGATCTGTGCTGTATTCGAATATGAAAACTCAGCACCTAAGAAGTACTTGCGGTCTCAGTAAGATTGCAAATAACTATAAAGTAACTATAAAGTATCCAACGATGTTCTATATATTGATGAACGTCCTTTTGAATGCTTCATCCCCTTAAATATAACGACGAATTCGTTATATTTAAGGGGATGAAGCATTCAAAAGGACGTTCATCAATATATATAGAACATCGTTGGATACTTTACAGATCTTTTGCTTTATTCTTACAACCTATCAATGATGATGTGGAACTTTGTTTTCAAAAACTTTCTTGCCGCAAAAAATCTGCAGCACTTACCAATTTCTATGCTACTTATGCAACCTTTGAACAACCTTAATAGAAGTTTTTTTTTCCATTAGCCGCGTTTACTGCTAACTCTTTTGGCACTTTTTGCAGTATACTTCTTATAACAGCTACTTGGAACTCTCTAACTTTTTTCTTTGCTGTTGGATATGGGATAAAAAGGTAAGGCTGTCGGCGTTGATCAATTCCTGTGGGATGCGCCATGCATTCGATTTCACTAAGAATCGTTGGAGGTGATTGTATGCATATCCTGGCCTTTACAATGGCTCGCGGTGGCCTATCGTTTTCTCGATGTATCGGACCAGTGCTGCTATCCTCCCAGATAAGAGTGGTGTCAATTTGCCGACCCCGGAGCGATGGAGGATTTTCTGAGCATGGAGTGCAGGAATCGATCCCATATGTATTGCGGGACGCCTCCGACCAATGCACTACTCTCGTCGCTTGATGGAGTCTCTAGTAAACACTGAGAATTGAAAATAAGATGTACATGAATCTTAAATTTACTTATCGAAGTTTTGTTCACATTCTTGTGACAGATTTTTTATTTCTTTGTCAAACGCGTATTATAGCGCCGATATTCTATTAAACCTTCAGTCGCTTTCTTCTCAGGTGGAAAACCACGAGGGAGAGTTTGGACTACTATGTTTGCATTTACAACGTATAAAGGTATTTTTCTGGACTAGGCTGTCAACCATCGGAATTTTTTTCACTAGTTATCAGTGTATAAATATCCGTATAAATAGATATAAATATCTTCCGTTGCACATCCTTCTTGGATAAGTTTTCCATGAGCCTGATCACCATTGAGTCAGCCATAGTTCCATTTCGGAAGACGTATGTATCGGTATTAGTATGAAGTCATATGTGTGATCATCCTTGTGTGTAGGTCGTATAATTTGATGCTTACTTATTATTTATATGTGAAATGTACTAGCGGGAACGGACTGTCTCTTGTTATTGTTGCGGATGAAATATCGTAGCAGCCATGATTGAACAGGAAGTCTAATAATCGCTTATAATAATCGCTTTGTTAGTCTAGCAGTGCCCCTCTAGAAGCGCAGAATAGAGAATTTCTTCATTTATTCAGCAATTATCGCTTGGTATGATTCGTTCTTTCGTTTTCAGTATCTTTCTTTCGGATGGCGGGACGGTTTTTTTTTGCCACACAAGAGTTACAAATATTACAAAAACAGGGAATGGTAATGAAAAAAAGCTTGAGTGTAAAAGTAGTTAAAGTGTATAAAAAAGAAAGTAGCGGAAGAAGTATGTGGAGGAACCAAGTTACGAAGGGAATAATGCGGAAAAGGTCTGTTATCTTTCCAGGGTACAATGAACGATATGCATTGAATCCAATTATGGAACGTTTGATAGAAAATTGTGCTTTGTCACTTAAAGACTTGGAATTTTTTATTCCAGGTGGTCGGTGATGCTATGGCTGATCTTCTTGTGGTGGAATCACTGTTACGATGGTACGGACTTTCTATAGAAGATTGGGAGAGTCAGTTCTACACTGATGCTCCAAGTCTACAAATTAAAGTTCCGGTATGTACGATTACTCAGAACACGTATTGTACATTTCATTTGCTATCTCGTTTATCGTAGTAGATTTCCAGGTGGCAGATCGATCGAAATTCAAAACTACATACGATGAGACCATTTTGCTTGAACCTCAAGGTGTTCAAGAGAAGATAAATTCATTTGTGAAACAGTGCAGCGGAGCCAGGGCCTTTGTTAGGCACGTTTATTTATAAATTCTACTGAGAATATAAGAGTGTCAGTGAAGTTATCTGAACTAGTTTCGATTGAACATTTCTTTTTGTAGGCCTTCGGGAACAGAGAATATTGTTCGAGTTTACGCCGAAACTCAACTAGCTGATGAAACGGTCGCCCTGGCTGAAAGTGTGGCTAATCTAATAAGAAATCTTTGAAAGTACTGGAATTGCATAACTAAATTTAATTCCAAGTTGTAACTGTTTACATGTGGTTAATATGGTAAAACTTCAGTAATTATTACCAACTTTCCAGGGACTTTCTGCTATTTATCCTTGTCTGGGTTCTTCGTATAAATATCTAAATCCTACATCATATGTTGTGTTGGGAAGTGCTTACATGATAAGGCCAGATTTTCACAGATTATCTCATAGGAGGAAAGGGTGTGTGTGTGTGTGTGCGTGTGTATGTGTGTCGCAGTGTTCCGAGGCGCCTTGAAACACGTGGGATCGACTCTTGCGCCCGTGGCTCACCAAGTCTTCTATCTCTCTAGGGTCGGCGGATTGGTACCAGACTTATCTGGGAAGGCAGCAGCACAGGCTCGATACATCGGTAGGCCACCGCGAACCGTTGTAAAGGCTAGGATATACGTTCAATCACCTCCAACAATGATTAATGAAGTTGGATGCATGGCGCATCCCTCCGCGATTGATCAACGCCGGGAGCTTTATCCTTTTCTATCTTGTAGAATCGGAGACATTTGTTCAATGTGCCACCATCTGCAATGCCTGGATTCGCATGGATGTGGATCTGTGTTCCATCACTAGCTATGATCAATTTTACACTATTCATAAATGACAGATTTGATAAGAGCGAATGATGGCTGTATTAGTTAGGGTGTTGAATGGAGCTCAACGTGATGGATCATATCCATGTGGCTATGATACTCAAGAGTTAGGACATAACGTAATGGACCAGTTTTATCCACTTAAGGAAAGCATTTCGATTTTCTGAAAGCAGAAACGGTTATTGAAGCCATGGGCAGCTATGGTAAACTCGGAATGCAATGATTCTTTGTGCGTTCTAAAATTACTCCAAGTCAGAGTGCTGCAATTTGAAAGTAACATAATCATCCAATTAAAGAGGAAAATTTAACGAGGTGGTATTGCTTCGTCAGAACTATTCTTCAATTCCACTTTCGAGATCATTGCGCAAAAAATGGCTCCTATCACAGACATGGAAGTCAATGACCCATAACTACCTCTTCGTTAATCTAGTTGCCCTCAAGTATGAAGCACTAACCGGATATCATGAATACTTGGCATTTCGTATTGCGCTTAAGCAAAGTCTTATTTTCGGTTGAATTGTGTGGAGACGGTATCCATGAGAAACGGGTAGGTTCCTCTTACACCATTCACATTAAACGAAGCGTAATCTGAAATATGGTTCAGACTATATTATTGAAAAAAGGTATTAGCAGGTACAGTATTCCATATTGCATCAGTGAGAGAGAAAGTAGAAAGCTGAGTTCTGGGCGCCGTTTGTATAGATACGAGTCACTTTACCATGTGGTGGCTAGACTAATTATGCGTCTGAATAACAATGGGAACCTTCATAGTACCTGAATTTGTCAGGTGCATGGCAAGTCAATCACCCAACTGACATTTTTACGCTTTTACGGCTTTTACGAGAAATTTCATCTTTGCATGTGCTAGAAGTTTGTGTTTGTGTACAAAAGTCCTCTTTGTTTTATATATATATACATATATATATATATATATATAAGTTCGAGTAAGAGTTCGTAACCGCCTATGTGACCGTTTATGTGCAATACAAAAGTGCATAATTTGCCCTAATGGTAGAGACAGTGATCGCATCAGTTCGGGTACAGTCTATCTGATCTCTTGTAAAGCGTGCGGGGACGGATACATTGGCGAAACGGGCAGACCCCTCTGTGTTCGCATGAAAGCAACACCTAGCCGGTAAACGTAAACCAAATACCCCACTAGGCACGCATAGGACCCAGAGATAACGGGAGGACTTTGGAGTACGTGTCACGATCCTTGCACAGGAATCGAGAACACAAGTGTGCAAAACTCTCGAGGCGTTCTCGATTAATTCCAGAAATCCAAAAATGAACCACAGAGAAGAATGCCTCATTATCACGCGTGATATTGGGCAGTATATAAACCTGTTATTCTGATGGGGTGGGCACATTAAGCCTCTATGTGAATTCTGTGCGGTTGGTCTTCACGCGACATACTCAGTGAAAGTCATATAGAAAGCGGAGACTGTGCACATTTGTGTTAAATGTGATTGAAATCTTAGCCTAGCGTTTTGTTGGTTTGGTTGTGGAAGTGTTTGGCCTGATAGATTGCCGTCAACTTGACCTTTCCATGCTCTGAGGAAGGCGAAATCCGCTGAAACGGCTTATTCCTGAATAAAGAATAAAATAACTAGTGTTATAATTCAGTGGAATAAATATGTTTAACCTTTGTTAATAAGGACTTATGGGTTCTAGTGGTTTTCTTTCCGGTCAATGGAATTTGTTATGATCTGTGCTATGAGTGGTTAAAGCTGAAAGACAAAATCATTTTCGGCCACATATGGCCAGCGTATTGTGTTTGATGTGCTAAAATAGTACTAACAATATATTAATAGTAAACAAAGGAGATTATAAGAAGATTCTTTGCTAAGAAAAACTTATTTGAACATCTGATTCAATCGTGTTTGTGCGTGATTATCAGAAATCATTGTAGTTAACTTTTATTTCTGGTCCTTCGATATCTCGTTGAAATAGCTAAGATCTTCTTATTAATGACGGTGTCTACTTTTTCTAAAAAATTAGAGTTATCACTTATATTATCAAGGATCCTATCAAGTTACTTCACCAGGAAACTGTCCAACTATCAAGTTGGTTGCCGTTCTGCCACATTAGAGTCGTTAAGTGAGCTGCGCTTTTTTGAGTGGCACAAAGTGCCTCATGCTCTGAGTGCAAGGAACTTTTTTTAATGCTAGTAGCAAGAAGGTAGTAACGGATAGCTCTTGCTACTTTTAGTGAGGCTTACAAATAGAAATTTATAGTACATCCAAGGCCAAGGCTGCCACATCGGGCCATGAACGTGAAATGATACAACTCAGTTTAATCGCACCTCCAGTCTCTTCTAATCAATAGCGCTTATAATTTGAATGCAGTTTTTCTAGTCATAGATAACAATTTTGTGGTAAATACGCTAAAAGCCCACTAGAAGAGTTCCTCTCCGTCGTCACATGATAAACCTTTAGCTGGCCGAACGCATTCGTCATCATCTAGGATTTCTCGGTAAGTGAAGTGCAATCGAGCCAAAACATTGCTGTTCTCGTCAAAATTATGTTGTTGATGACGCTACCATGGTGACGAAAGGGTGAGGATTTTCCATCATAACCGCTTCCACGGTTTAATACTGAGCTTTTATTCCTTCAATATCCTATTAATATTAATATTAATGATATGCTGAGTTTCCAACCCTGAACACCGTCATTGTGTAATCTTTTGCTCATAGTCGGGTTATTTCGAGCAAATTATCAGCTTCCGTCATAATTTTCTCAACTTTTCAAGGTTATGAAGCTCCTATTTTAATTAAAGACACCTTCAAGCTTTCTTTCATGGACGTTTTTGATGCCGTTCAATGCATGAGCGCCAAGATTTGCTGTATTTTCACTTAATCTAGCAAACGTTATGGATTATGGGTCTCTGGAAGCGAATTTACACGACGTTCTTGATAAAGAAATAGAGAATTGAAATTTATGCGTCGATGACTCCATGAGAAATGCGCCGAGCATTCGACTTCATCAAGTAACGTTAGAAATGAATGAATACATTCTTTGTCCATAAAATGCCTTGTGGTAACCTACTTATGTGACTAGTCAATGCTGCTATCCCGGACAAGTCTGGTTCCAATTTTCCGACCTCTTGGGAATGGATGGTTTAGTGAGGGTTGGCCGAGAGACTGAGCTAGCAATCGAGTATCTTGCAGAGTACTCCCAACCACAGCAGACATCCTGTCCACTCTCTGATATGGTTTTACAGCGACAACAACAACAAATGCATACCGGTAATCTTGGAACTGAAAAGGCGAGTAGTACAGTAATATTGATGCCATTAATCGCGAACACTGTTGTCGTTCGATCCCGCACAGCGTGCACGAACTCTCTGATCTCTGCTGGGTCGGAAAATAGGTACTAAGCTGATCTGGTTCAGGGCTCCACGGAGAATCCACCTGACCAGTATAGTATTCAAACAACGTTCAAAAAAAGACTGCACTCCTCAACCAGCAGCGAAACGCACACACGAATTGTTGGAAGACAAGACCTTCCTCGGTGATGGATGCGAGGAAATGAATTGATTCACAGAAGTGCTGGCATCCGCCCAGTGAATGTGAATACGGGTTATGGAGGAAAATTTTGACATTTCATAAAAATTTTTACTCTATTTTTGGATATCATTTTTCTCATAACGTTTCTTTTTCATGATAGAATGATAATAAGCCATACTACGGTGGTCGTGAAACAACTGATGGTAAACGGATGTCGTAATCGGTGGTTACTGGTTGTTGAACTCATCGCTCTCACATTTACTGCCGGACATTCTTATTTCCTTCTAAGAATGCTAAACACTTTTTTTGAAGGTTTCGTTCGAACTAGTGACTTTTAGTTCGTATATTATAGAATTATTAAATACGTTTGTTTTACTTGACGCTGTTATTGCTTTCACAGAAGATTTTCGAAGTATTCCAACAGCACTATTGTTCGAGTGGAAGGCGTTTAGCAACACTACGTTTGTATTATGATAAAGCAATAATAACTGGTGTTCAAAAGTGTAGGACACGCCTATTTGTGCACTCATCTACTCAATGAAGCGCGAGTGGTATAGCACCTAAATGTCGATTGCAAATCTCACATGGCACACACACACACACACACGCACACACACGCACACACACACACACACACACACACACACACACACACACACACACACACACAAACACACAATCTCTCACATATGGTTCGATCCCGCCCATATTAAACGCTCACACCCGGGTGAGCATATTAGTAGTAGACATTTTTGGGAGGATATGAAGTTCTCTTAATGTACCCCTACTCCCCTATTTGCATAGGCCAAATATGTATCCAATTACTTTTTCAAGCAAATGGAATCCATAGTACTTCCATAGAC